TATATATATATATATATAAAACCCAGTATAACCTACAGATATATATATATTTGTAGGTTATACTGGTGTTAACCTTAAAAAATGGAGTAATAGATTGATGGGGGCCAATAAACCTTTTTTATATAATACTGCCCAGGATTTAAATCTACCTTCACCTATGATCTAATGTATGCTTGGAGTTCTGCAATATGGCAGCGCCCTTGCCAAAAAATGACATAACAATGCTTAGTTTTTTCTTTTACGTTTATATTTTTCATATTTGTAATATAATTATTGATAGTAGTAAGACACAGTGTTGTGTATTAAGCTAGGTTTGTTAACTGTTTCATTTTAGCTTTAAATTAAGACCAGTTTGCTATGTTTTTTAAGAGCAAATCAGCCCTATGATTAATATCTGGGCTACCTCCCCTGTGCATTATAGCACATTGAGTGTAATGCCTGCAGAAACTGTGTTTTTAATCACATTTACCTCCTTATATGCTATATTCATGAGTGATGCATTTCTAACCTCGTGCCTTTAAGAATGTCATTGCTAGAACCCTTGTATAAGACATCAGTTCATATTAATTGACAGTTACATGAATTTTTTACCTTTTCGTATTTATTTGTAAATATTTTAGTTTTAAACAGTTTTTGTTGATATTGGCTCCAACTTTTACTGTTTACTCAGATTGAATTACTGCAACTTGTCAGAAACCAGCTGTGCATCTCTGGTCTCAGCTCTGAAGTCTAACCCCTCCAACCTGACAGAACTGGACTTGAGTGGGAATGACCTGAAAGATGCTGGACTAGAAGAGCTTTGTGGTTTTCTCCAGACATCCATTTGCAAACTACAGATATTGAGGTAAGATCTATTCTAACAACATCACACAGCAATTTTGTCAAGGTAAATCAGTAAAGGATCAAAAGGTTGTTTCACCAAAGCAGCAGGTCGTGACTGTCAGAAGAAACAGGTTGGGTTTCTAACAGTGTAGTGATTGATCGGCACTAGTCATAAGTGTCAGATTTTCATCAAAACGTATGTGACTGCCGATCACTGTCATGATCGCAGAAACAGATCACCTCTATCTCTGATTTCACAGCCTGCAGAGCCCCTCCTGCAGCATGTCTCTCTTGCTTTCACAGCAAATCCAAAGCAGTGTCATGTGCTGTCATGTGCTTTCTGAGAGATCATCCTGTCAAGCTCAGAACAATAGGACCCAGTATTCGGGATCGGGAGGCAGATTTCACAAAATGTTTATTGGGAACTGAACCGAAGTGAACAATGTCTCCTGTGCAGAAGGAAACAGGTTAATGACCCTGTCTATATGGAAGTGGATGATAATGAATTTGTGAGTCACTAACCTGGTCTTATAGTTCAGTCCCAGCCCAACGTGATGCAGAGGTTGCCGCACAGAGTCCCAGACACTGATTATTGGTGGTCGGTGGATAAGCGGAGTAGACAAAGGAAGGCAGGATAATTCAGAGGGCGAAGCCAAACCTGGTGTCAATGATGTGCACAGTAGTCAGAGCCAGGAGGTCAGTGATCTAAAGAGGTGCCTAGGAGAATCCAGAATTGAGTCAGGTAGCAGTTCCAGGTTTACTAAATAGGCAGACAGATTTGGCATGAGTCAGAAGACAAGTTAGCAGGCAGGTC